AAAATAATTTTTTCAAAAATTACAACAACAAAGTGCGCAGTTCGTTTAGACGCACTTTGAAAAATCTAAAATTTTGTCTTATTTACGTTTCGTAGAAAACTTAATCGTTTCTAATATTAATCTATCAACAAAAACGAGTAATTACTGAGGGTTTTAGAATTTTCCATCAAGTTTTTCCAGAGATTTTCCTTCATTAAAGTTTTCATGTTGCAAAAATTTTGATAAATTATTTATCCAATAATTTTGCGTTAAATTATTATTCTTTTAACTGATTTCCATAGATAATTGTCCATAATATTAGAAAATTAACAGATATTTAAGCTTTCTTCTAAGTATAAGGCGAAAATATGTGAAAAATATAATTATGGTGAAAAATTTCCACCACTCTCATAGATTAATCAACAAATTTTGACAAAACTGTAGATACCATAATAAATTTGAATAGACCAGCTTATTTATCGTATTAAACTTAGTTAAAAACAGAAAACTGCACAGCTCTATGGCTAATGGAACTTGAAAATTTTACTGATAAATTAAGTTGTGGTGAAAAAATTTCACCATAGAAAAATAAAATTTTAAAAAAACTATGTCTAAGGTTTTAATTCATGTTTTAAATTGATTAATTTTGAGACAGAAACACTTTTACAACCTAATTTAAATGAAACAATTGCCTAAAACAACGTTTTTTAAAATTTTATTTTTCTATGGTGAAATTTTTTCACCACAACTTAATTTATCAGTAAAATTTTCAAGTTCCATTAGCCATAGAGCTGTGCAGTTTTCTGTTTTTAACTAAGTTTAATACGATAAATAAGCTGGTCTATTCAAATTTATTATGGTATCTACAGTTTTGTCAAAATTTGTTGATTAATCTATGAGAGTGGTGGAAATTTTTCACCATAATTATATTTTTCACATATTTTCGCCTTATACTTAGAAGAAAGCTTAAATATCTGTTAATTTTCTAATATTATGGACAATTATCTATGGAAATCAGTTAAAAGAATAATAATTTAACGCAAAATTATTGGATAAATAATTTATCAAAATTTTTGCAACATGAAAACTTTAATGAAGGAAAATCTCTGGAAAAACTTGATGGAAAATTCTAAAACCCTCAGTAATTACTCGTTTTTGTTGATAGATTAATATTAGAAACGATTAAGTTTTCTACGAAACGTAAATAAGACAAAATTTTAGATTTTTCAAAGTGCGTCTAAACGAACTGCGCACTTTGTTGTTGTAATTTTTGAAAAAATTATTTTAATTACTTAAGCAAAGCATTTAGTCAGGTACTTTTATTATATTTATAACCTAATTGGTCATAGCTATAAACACATAAAATAGTTTTTGTCTTAATAGTGTTTATTAAAGGAAAATTTGAAAAAAATTAAGTGCGTCTAAACGAACTGCGCGCACCTTAAAAATAAAAGAAAATAAAAATTTCTTAGTTTAATCAAAATTCCTTCAAATAATATTAATTTGATCAAAATGTAGATCCTGTTTTCATATTTAAACCATAATATGATAGTATAAATCACAAACTCTTCCTTTAAAAAATTAAATGAAACTGAAAATTCATTCAAAATCTAATGATAAAGATAAAACAGTTCTGGCTTCATTACCAACATTTACTAAGTTCGCTACTTTCCTGGTAGATTCCTCACATACTTTTTGATTTAACTAAACAGTGATAATCTAGAAAATAGTTTAAACTTGAGCGCTCGTATCATTTAATCAGCCTTCGTTATTTAATTGTCCAAAAGAAGGCAAGCTTTTCAAATTATAAATCTAAAAAAATGCTTTTTAGTTCTTAAAATCTTTCAAGATCAAGTTAATTAACACCAAAAAATTTATAAATTTGCAACCTACTCCAAGGGTCAGACACTCCAAAGTATTGTACGGTATTGTACAATACTTACAATCCTTACAATACTTTCCATACAAGTATTGTACAATACTTACAATACTTACAATACTTGCCATATAAGTATTGTAAGTATTGTAAGTATTGTACAATACTTACAATACTTTTCATATAAATTTACAATACTTTACAATACTTACAATACTGAAATTTTTTGAGTTTTCAACAATTTGTGAAACCAAATTTAATACTTTTTTTTGACAAATATTGATAAATAACAATTTTTTTGATAAATTAACATTATTATTGAAAATTAGCATGGATATTTTATGAAAAACTAGCACAAATTTCAGTTTTCCATTAAAAGAGCGAATTTCTGATTATGTATTGACTATAAAAATGGTAAAAAGTTCAAAATTCTTTTGTAAAGCTAGACTGATGCAAATCAAGAATTTATTTCATACAATTCTCATGCATAAAACCGTACAGGTACGAAGTTGATTATGTAAACTAATATTAAATGTCAATAAGGAATTAAAATTAAATAGATTGGTTTCATTTTCACAAGATTTATCACTTTTTATAGCAAACTGCATTACGTTTTATACAAATTTTTTGATCAAAGTATAAGGTTTTAACTATGATGTGCCAAGAGACGTTGTCAACGTTGATTCGAAATAAATTCAAACTCGTTTCGAATGTTTTTCGAACAAAATTTCGCAATTTCGAAAAACTTTTTTTTATGAAAATTTCAATTTTTCGCAATTTTTGACTTAATTTACTTATGATTACAGAATTAAATCATTCTATTATGTCTTTTAACACTAATTTAATCGTCTAATCGGTGATAAATGCAGCAAACATTAGTTTAAAATGCTTTTTTTTCAAAAATATTATAAATTTTTTTTGTTGTTTACATTGGGAATAAAAATGTTATTAATTCACTTGCACTAATTGTTTAGTAAATCAGTAATGATTCATTACATTTGAGTGGATTCGTTTAACATTTTGATGATGAAAAACAAATATTTAAACTATTTATTAGAGATATTAGACATTAATAATTTAACGTGTGAAAAAAATTTGAACTTATGCTCGAAAATAAGGTCCCAAAAAAAATTCAATATCGAAAATAAGGACTCGTTGGCGTACCATAGGGTTTTAAGTGTATTTAAACATTACTTTGACGATTTGAATTTTTTTAACCTCTGACAAGAAGGCGATTAAGAAGGAATCAAATTTAACAAACTTATCAAATGGTTTTTATAGCATTTTTTTTTTTTGAAAATACATATTTTCAACAACTGAATCTCTAAGACAATATAAAACTGTATATTTTTTCTTCTTTCTTTGTCAAAAATATTCTTATTTTTTTTAGTTCTTATAGTTGATACTAGACTTTCACGATTTACCATTCCCGAAATTTTTGGGACAGAAACTCGATGAATAAAAATAGTTATCCAAAAAATTTTAATGTCAAATTATCTCAATTGAAAAGTTTCATCATTTAAACACAAAAAAATCTTCCAAATTTCCAGCAGCATGTTTGATATTTGAGTTTAAATTTTTGTCCAGTTCCCGATAATTTTTTGGGTCCGGGAAATTGTGAATGCCTAGTTAATACAAAAATATATATCATTTCAGGAAAATTCACTGAAAATTTCTGATGAAAAATGTCCTTACTAAAAGCAAAGTAAACTTTATAGAAACTTAAATCGAGGCATAGCAATGTTATGATATGACTTAAAGCGCTATAAAAAAAACTAAACCTCGGTGTTACCTCTTACTAATGTCTAATATTCTCATCTTATCTTATTTTCGTTAATAATGTTTGATATTTTTGGCTGCATATGGCGTTATATCGCCTTTGTTTCGAGCCAGAATACTTTTTTGCTATTGACAATTTTAATAAATGACTTTATTACCAAAAATTTTGTATACAAATATTTTTACAATATTTGTACCAATCTTAGCAAAGAGAACAGAGACCGTAACAAAAAACAAAAAAAATTCAAAATTTTCGCGCGGTATTTTTTTAAAATTTCAAAATAAGAAAGTCTGTTACTTTTTATTTTTTTTTAAACTAGGTGTTTTTTAAAGCATTAACATTTAAGGAATGCAATTTCATCACAGTGATTATCTTAATCATAAAAACTAGTAGGAATGTTCACTAAAATTACAAATTACTCGAAAAATAATAATTCACAACGAATTTTTTTAAAAACAAGAACTTCGAAGATTCGATTTTCGAAAAATAAGTATTATGTATTTTTATCAAATTTTGGTTCAAAAAATGTAAAGAAACACGAGAAACTACATAAAAACCGTCAATTATAATCAAATTCATATGACAAATGTTTCTCAAACTGTCTTGTAAAAACTACAATACTTACAATACTTTCCATACAAGTATTGTAAGAATTGTAAGTATTGTAAAATTCTGCAATACTTGTCATACAAGTATTGTAGGTATTGTACAATACTTACAATACTTTTATATGTATTGTAAAGTATTGTACAATACATTACAATACTTTTGGAGTGACTGACCCTTGACCTACTCAGAATTTTAAAACAAAACATTTAAAATGAAAAAAAAAACTTTTACGATACAAATTCATCTCTGTAAGACCTCATTTTAAGTTCCAAAAATTAAAATGCTCTAATTTAAAAACGTAATTAATCTGAACTAAATCTCTGACAATCTTAATAAGTTATCAAATAGATTTATTGATAGTTTTGCAAGGGTTTTCGATTCCAAATGTCGTTAAATTTTATTACACAGTAATTAAATTACCATACAAAAATAAAATGTACATCCACGTGTGTTTCAAAGTTTTGGCTTCATTTGAAACGGAAAGAATGTTATGCAAATGCTTAAGACTGATTTGTAGATCCATAATGTGTTAAAAATCAACTTTTAGATGAATTTTGCTATTTTTATATTTTTCCGACGCACCTCAAATACATTCAATCAAGTTTACTGTTTTTGAACAGAAAATTTAAGAAAGCTTTGATTGGAAGCACATCAGATGCGATACTTCTTAAACGACACTTTTATCATCGATATCAAATTTTCAAATGATGGCATTTTTGAGATTTTTGTTTGAAAAAAAAATTCATTATAAATTCATAATGTTGAAATTATGTATGGCATTTACTAATCTGACAATAAGGAAAAATCACTATACGATGTATTTTAATAACTTTTTAAATTTAGATTCATATGAAATCTCATGCAAAACCAAAATTTGCGTGTTCGCAGTGCGACAAGCAATTTTCTCAATTGCGTAATTTTAAATATCATATGTCAATTCATCTTGGAACCAAGGAATTTGCAGGTAAGAGTCATTTCATCACTGCGATTTAAATCTTCTTTATACAAAAATAATATCAAATGAAAATGAAAATTGATTCTAAATCCAAATGATAAAGATAAAAAGATAGTTATAGTAGCGAAATTTTTTTGTGGATCCAAATCGTCTCCATTGACAAAACTAGCAGATTCTCTTTTTTGTTTTGCTGTCAATTCCTTTTCAATTTGCAATATCTTTAGCATTTTATGACTTGTTTGAGAAGTTTTAGGTGTTTTGATTATACAGTTCTCTATGATGCTTTGATTTAATCAAAGACTTGATTTCTTATACGAAAATGTTCAGATCAAAAACATTAAATTTTAAGTGGATTAAACGCCTCGCTTTTAAAAATTGTTATGAAAATCTTGTCACAATCTCGCAATTAAAGCAGTTAAAATGCCATAAAATCGTAATAAAAATATTTTAATGTTATTAAAATGAGATATCAGAAGCATGCATGTTTTTGGGAGGTACGTCCTTTTGATGAACATCAAAAGCGTAAACAAACATTTATAGAAGACATTATTGGTGTCTGCTGACTAAAAAAAAGGCTTAATTTAATGCTTTACAACTCAATTTAAAAAAAAAATTTCATTGGAATAAAAGGTAAACAAAATATTGGCATTGTCAGTGAAGGTATACTAAAGGAAGTATAATTTTAATGCTCAATGTCTATGAGGTAATTTGAAAAATTACAAACTTTTTAATTTAATTTCGATTATAAAAACTTGATAACAATGCAATAATTCACCCCTGATTCAAACAATTACTTGCGACTAGTCTCATGAATTTAATATGAGACATTTCGATCAATATTTTCACTCTTTTATAATGTTTAAAATCAATTTGAATGAGCACAATAAAGCCCTGTCAAAAATCAACTGAACTGAATTGAGTGAAAATTCAATGGAAATAATAATGCGTTGATTAAACAAAAAACTTTTAAAACGAATATTGCTAATTAATAAACTTTTAATATTTTATCGAGTTTATGAGGGATACAGGCTATTCTATATTGAAACGTAATTAAAAATTCATGGATAAAAATTGATGATTAAATATTGAAGTTTTAAATTGGCTCATTTAAAATATAATACAATTAGTAAAAATCCAATTAAATTGAAATTAAAGGAAATATGATTTGGATGTCACAAAATTAACAAATTGTGATTCTAAACATTTTAATTTTTTCAATGTTTTTTGAGTCTGAATTCTTCTAGTTCATCGATCGAATTATTAATGAATTATTACAAATCCACAAATTAAGATGTAGTACCGTTTTTTGATCATAAGCTAGTAGCTTAGTAGAATATATAATGGAGATTTTTTGGTCCCTTGTAGCTTAATAACTAGTAGTAGCTTACCCGAATGGCACAAGTTGGTTAATTAATCAGAAATCCGGCTCCAAACTGGTGTGACTCTGGTATAGTGCTGGATTTAAATCGAAGCCAGTAGATCATTTAAAATTATAAATCATGAAATATAGAAATAAAAGATAAATGATGCAACAACGAAGAGGGTTGGGGATGTAATTAATAATGTGTGATGGGCCCAGTTTTTCAGCTGGAGGCACTGCAATTCAAATTAGAACAGAACGTATTGTACCACACCCTTAAGACCTACAGTTTATAGTGGGATCCGAACCACTTGGGGATATAAAAAGAATTAAAAATATTCACAAAAATTGAAAATTTTGTGTGAATATGATTCTTATCTTGTCAATTCAATATTATTTTTATCGTCTCTTCAATAAAAATTTTCTTTCTTTTTAAAGCTTCCTGTCCAGAGTGCGGAAAAACGTTTAATGATAAAGGATATCTATCAAGTCACTTAAAAATTCACAGGTAATATTTATTTATCACTTAAAGAGTGAAAGCATTTAATGTGTGTTTTTTGGTGTAAATAAATTGTGCTGAAAACACACCGGGAAAATATGTAAATTACGCATAAATTGTGCAAAATTTGTTGCTTACCCTTAAAGTTTATGGAGCTCGTATTTATGAGATTGTTGTGCTGCTTTTGGATTGTAACTTGTATTTTAAATAAAAAGCGTGTAATAATCGATTAATAACTGAGACTATTTCTAAGGTTACTTTAACTCATTATATTCGAAACATAGACAAATTTTATTAAAAGCTCAGAGGGTTGTGCATCGATTTTAATTCTAGAGCAAGCCTCTTAAAAAGACAAATTCCTAAAATTAAAGAAGTGGCAGCTCTGGAAACCAAATAATCTTAAAAATATTTTATTGATTTTTTTATTCAATATGAAGACATTTTTAATGTAATTGATGAATGAAAAATGCAAGCTACTCTCCGTTTCTCGAAATGCTTTGCTTAATTTTTGCTCCTCATACAATAAACAGTTTTTAGCACAAATAATGCCTTTCAGTTCTACATTTAACTTAATCTTTCTTACATTTTCCAAACCACAGAAATAAAAAGGAGCATGCTTGCCCATACTGTCCGAAATCTTTTAATCAACGAGTTGCTTTTAACATGCATGTTCGGTGAGTATCATAAAGGACACTTTTATGGAAGTTGTCCATTGAATAATAATAAAGTGGGAAGGAACATAATAATTCTCTTTATTGCATTATAAAGCTCCATTTTTATTCATACTCTATTCTTATTTAAATTAGAATACATTTGGGTCTAAAGCCTCATTGCTGTCAGGAGTGTGGGAAAACATTTAGTAGGTATGTCAATGAAAGCTCTTAAAAAAGTTTAAAATTAAGTTTTTATTTTCCATATTATTTAAATCATGTCTCATGCTTTGTTTTCATATCCATTCATCACATCACAGGAAAATGTTGTTGAAGCAACATTATCGCACTCATTCAGGTAAATATTATTTTGCTCATAAACTTTTCATATGCATGATAATTTAATGATGTATGAATTTTCCAGGTGAAAAGCCTTACGTCTGTAGTTTCGAAGGATGTGAGAAGAGATTTGCGGATCGATCCAACATGATTCTTCATTTTCGACTACATAGTGGCATTAAACCGTTTTCTTGGTAAGTTTTTCAATCTTTTTAAATTATTCAAATACTTTCTAAATGTACCAATTTCACTTCCTCATATACAAACAGCAATTTGTGTCCAAAGCGTTTTTCAAAGAAGCATCATTTAGGTATGTCTGTTAATGTTTTACTAAAATACACACATATCACAATAATCCCACTCAATATCAATAGGTACGCATTTGAATTATCATTTGAATCTAAAGCCATACTCGTGCTTGAATGAGGGATGTACTCAAAAGTTTACGCAGTCAAGCAATATGAGAACGCATATGAAAAAGGTAAAATAGATTGAATGAGATGTCAAGCAAGATATTTTGATTTCATTAATTTCCAAAACTATTTGCAGTGCCCTCATCGGAAAGTCGAGGAGAAGTGACAATGACGATGCATGCCAGGTGATATTTCGTTTATTCAAAGACCACCCCCAACATTTCTAGATACCCCTCTGATGCATATGCATCTAGTTTTCTTTCGCACCATGAACATTAGTTTTTATTTGTGTTATATTTTGAAACAGGAATAATCCAAAAATACGTAATTATTATAATTAAATTAGATTTTAGGAAACATAACAGTATACGTACGTAAAGTTCTCGTAAATGGCGAGGCTTTATGAATAATTGTTAAAATATTAAGGTGATAGGGATTTTTGTATACGAGACATTAATGTTACATATTTTACAAAGTTTTATACTGCACAAAAAAAGAAGTATACGATGAAATGAATCAAAAATGAAACTTTAGTTATTTAAATTTTAATGTTGAAAATAAAATGTTATTGAAATTTTTTTTAAGCCATTGCATCCTGTCAATTTTTATTTCAGGACTTTTAAATTTGAATGTCTCAATTGGTTACTCAATAAGTATGTCTAGTTTATTTACTATCAGTGCTCATTGGGTGCTTATCAATCTCTCAGATCCAATATCAGGGCAGTCAGAGCTAGTTCAATAGTAACGTATTTTTAAGATTTGAACATAAATGAAGCCAACTTCAGAGCATACATTAGGGGAAAATCTACGATTTTTTAAGTCAAAACAAAGTTATTCAAATCGAGGACCCTCGGTGAATGTAAATAAACATATTTAACGTTTTAAGGCTTTTCTATGCAAAAAGACAAGTAATTATTGTTTTAAATGAATAAAGCTACGTCGGAAGAACTATAGAAACCTTATTTAATTGAAGCCATTCAAATTAAGCAGCAGACAATAAACGAAATAATTGATGAAATTTAAAATTATTAAATTGTGTTAAAATTGGACAATAATAGTGAACCAATAACCAATTAAAGGTAAATTCCAATCAAACTAGTTATAGACAGTATAATAAATGCTTTTTAATTACGGTGATGTATAGAATGGAAAATTTGGAACTGGATTTTGTTAATAAACTAGACGAGACTACGTGGTTGGATATCTTTGAATATTTGGACGGACAGAACCTTATAATACTATCAATTACGTGTGAAAAGTTCCGAGAACTAATTGGAAACTCGAGAGTCTTGATGAGAAAAATTAAATTTAGCATCAACTTTCCGGAAGAATCCGGTGAAGAACTTAAGAAAATTAAGAAAGGACTTGAGACATGTTCAAAATATTTGACAAGAAACTACTTAAACCTTCAAATTAAACGACTTAAAGACAAAATTTTAAACAAAGATATGAGAGATATTTTCATGTCCATAATTTCGCAATTTGCTGTAACTGTAACCAGCCTTGAGATCAATAACTGCTATCTATTGCGTGATGACATTGTTACAATTCTTCAATCTTTCAAGAATCTAGTTGAATTAAAGCTTGAGAATCTTGCATTTTCTGATGACTTAATGCCGTCCGAAATTGTGCAACTTAACCAATCAAGTCAAAGCATTTCCTGTCCAAATTTAAAAACACTTCATTTAATTCAATGTGACTTTTACTGCTTGCTCTTGTTAAGATCACATGATAGTCTACATACTTTAGAAATATCTATGGCAAGCTATAATCGTTCAGATGTTGAGAAATTAGAAGATTTTCTATTAAAGCAATCAAATTTGAAGGACTTTAAACTAACTCATTTCCGATTTAATAGTTCGTACTCGTCTAATCGATTGTCCAAAATTCCCTTCCAGCTTGAAAAGCTGTATTTAAAAGATGTTTATTGGGATATAAAAGATCACTGTTCATTATTCCTTGAAAGTCAAAAAAAGTTGAAGCATTTGGAATTGAAACGAATTCGTCAATGGATTTTACCAAAAGAATCAAATTATCGATGGTTCTGTGATATTATGAAGCATGTCTTAATTTACAATCGTTTAGAAAAACTAGTCATTGATACAAGCTTATCGTCAGCTTACATGAAAGATTGTGATTTTCTGGTTGATGTGTGCAATAAAAATGTCAAACATTTAACTTACATTCGTGATAGCTCCGACACATCCGAATTGTTCCTAATTTTTGCAAGATTATTTCCAAATTCACAAACTATTGTTTTCATTGACTTTCCACAAGAAAGAAGCTCCTCATTAGATATAATTGGAAATCTCAACTTATTTAAAGATTTAAAGGATTTAAGTATTACAACCAAGCCTGGATCATTAGCTAATTTCCCACAGACAACTGCTGAAAATTTAACAGCATTCTACTTTTATGCCACAAATGAGGATAAATCATTGGAAAGACTTAAGCAAATATTTTCGGGAAAATCAAAGATTCAACATTTTGGAATTAACATTGAGTCACTAACAGTCGAGGAGATTATTGAGCTTATTGTGCATTTCTCATCGACCTTAAAAAAACTGTCAATAATGGATTTATATTTGAATCAAACTGAAGCAGAGCTATTTATTCGTAACTTTCCAAATCTTCGTTATTTAACAAGTGACATGTCAATCTCGCAGGATGTACTAAATATTTTAAAGGATCATAATATTACATTTAATAAGTGTAATGGAAAAAAGAATTAAAATTGATTGAATTTGATAAAAACTTCATAATTTTATTCACTATTACTTTATGCTACATTTTATTAATTGAGTAAAAATCGTACAATTTAAATAAAAAAAAAACTTTAATTTACTTCCTCGTATCGCTTTTTCATCATCTTTTTAATATATGATTTGTAATCATCTTGAGGACCGGCACCATAGCTAGCATTTTTACTACCAAGTCCTGCTGTTGTATTCCTCTGTTCTGCCTCAATTATCTCAGTCCTTCCTTGCAATGACTTCCCTAAACCAGATCCCTCTTTCCAGCCCATTGCTTTTAATAGCTTATTACCAATATTACTGTCATCGATTGGCTTACTCGCAATAACTTGTGCTTGATACGACTGTGTAATTGAGGCTTTCTTTTCCATTTCACGTTGGAACCTCTCCTTAGCTCTATTTACTGGTGGCAGTGGATCTGCTTCTCCGTATTTCATACGCCTCTCTTTTGCTCTATCTCGATAGCTGGAATAATATATAACATAAGCAATAATCTACAAAGAATCTTGTCTGTGGTCGGCAAACTGATCTTATTTTCAGAAATTTTAGATTTAGTACTTTTTCAGTAGTCCTTATTTTTAGAACTTAATCCGTTATAAATTTTAGCCAATCAGAAAATTTTGTTTTCTTACAGAAAACTATATTTAACACAAAATAATTATGCAATGTTTGTCTTAAACTGTTAACCGATTCACTATTTTATCGAATTTTGATAAAATTTCGTGTTTTCCTTTTCAAATATTTTTCTTCAAAATGTAAATATACTAAATGCTATTTTTATGAATATCAGAATGTTTTCTGACCAAAAAAGAGTATGGAATTATCAATGTATCACATTATTTAAAAGCAAAATGACTTAGAAACAACAAAATAAATTATGATCAAATAACGTTTTTCCTGAATTTAAATGTTCAACTGATTTTATAAGCTTTTTGCCGACCATAGAATCTTGTATAATAATTCACATACTTTTGAGCTGAAATGCTTGCACTGTTACTTCCTCCTGCTATGTCCAACATACCATTTTGTAGTTTGTACTTTTGAATATTTTCTTTATGCAAGTTTGAAATTTTTATGTGTTTAGTAAGTACATCAAGTGATGGAAATGCACGCTTACATAGCAAGCAAGTTAATTTTTCAAAGTCTACAAGATCATTTTCATTAAATGTACTGGCAGCTGCTGACGATTTATGTGCAGCTTGATCTTCATCAGAATCTGAATGATACGGAATAACCACTTTTGAGACTGTTGGTGTTATTGTTGGAATAGTAAGTGTTGTAATTGGTCTGTCTTTTTTTTCTAGCATTGAAAATCCAATATCCATAGCAGCTTCAGCTTTAAACATTGACATTGTCATTGATGGTGGTGGTGATAGGGAATTTTCATTCCTTGTTACTTGCTGTACTTGAATGGGTGTATAGTCTTTCTTCTGATTCAACTGCTTCGCCCATCTAAAATTATATATTTAATGAGTAAAAAATTACAAAAGTCCTCTTGTTATTGATCGAGGGGGTTCAGTGCATTTTTGACGCAGCGATCAGTTTTTGATTATCTAATTATTTTGCGTTCATTTACAGGTCATTAGAAGATTAGAAGATCATTAATTTTAGTGTATTTAACAAATAATTACAATGAATGTCCTATAGAAAGACTTACAATAAAATTGGAACAAGTTACACTGAATGCGCTAAAAATTACTGAACTGATCACGCAAATACTCACTTTTCCATGTCTTTGACGATCTTTTTAGCCACTTTGACTTTATCTTGTGGTTGATCTTTTTGTTTCTTGTCTTTTTCTTCTTCCTTTGGCGGTGGTGGAATATCCTAAAATTCGAGTTAATATAAAATTAATGAGTGCCTATTAAAATAACGAATTTCAATAATTCGAAACCTCATTTTTTCGACCATTTTTTTCTTTGTATAGTTTTCAAATTTTTATGAACCGTTACCTGCAAAATTACCGTTTTTTCGTTATAAGCTAGTAGCTTAGAAGCATAAAAAAGTGATTTTTTTGGCTCACTAGTAGCTTAGTAACGAGTAGTAGCTTTTACCGAAAAACAGGAATTAATACGAAGAAAAAAAAAGTCGAAAAAATAAGGATTCGAATTATTGAAATTCGTTATTTAAATAGGCACTCAAAATCAATATTTTGTTCAAATTGAAAACCGAATGAAATTAGCTTACCTGTTTAGCACCATTAGATGTGCTTGGTGTGTTGGCGGTGGGACCAGTACTGTTTGGAGAAGCCAACACATAAGTTAAATTCGAAGCATCCCAATAAAGATACTGTCCAATTTCCGAATTGTAATAGTACTGAGATGATGCATCGTAGTATAAACCCGTTGATTGATCATAATAGTATCCACTTGAGTCATCATAAAAATATTGACTTACATCAGGAATTGCTGCACATGGATTTTAAAAATCATAAGTTTTATTAGTTTAATTTCTAGAACTCGTGAAATGTCTTTCGGTATTAAATTATTACGATATTTTTTGCCATCATTTCCTTTCGGTGTCTCAACTTGCTGTGCTGGATATGGCGCTGCTGACGACGTTGAAGGAGTTTCAATTTTCATTTTCTGTTTCCTTTCAATTGCTGATTGTGCTATTGATGCTCCAGAATGTGCTTCATATGGCATACTAGCCGACAAAGTTCCCTATAAAAAATAATTTAATTTACTTTAAATCTTTTAAGCATTAAGAATTGTTTACTTACCGCATTGATTTGATTAGTATAATATTCCGTATAATATTTCATGTAGCTTTCTTTTTCTGCTGGATTTTGGGCATACATTGTAGCTGCTTGTTCTGCCAATTGCGGGACATCTGCTAATGTATACTGATAAGTTGGTGGCTGTGAGTAATTTGTATCGATTGGAGGAGGATTATTATTATCACGTCGATTTCCATTGTTTTGTGACGGTTTTGGAGCTACTCGAGGAGTTTCGCCGTCCATACAGTACGAATAAGAAACTAAAGAAGGCATGATTATGAATAATAAATGAAGTTCATATTGATTAATGATTATTTACCATCACGTCCATCAATATTCAATGATGAAAGCTTCTCAATTGCTTGAAATGTATTCATAGAATCGACCAAATTATCAAAGTTTAAATAGCAAACTCCTCTCGAAACTTGAGTCAGTGGATCACGGCAAATTAAAATTTTTGATATTTTCGAAACATTATCAGGAAGTTTGTCTTGAAGAGCAATCAACACTGTTTCTTCAGTCGATAGTGCGTCTAGATTTCGCAGCATTATTTCTAGAGACAAATTAAAGTACAGATAATTTTTTTCTAGCAATTTAAATTAACTTAAAGTCTACTTACTTTTAGTCAGAACAGTGCTGATTTCATCGAAACCTTCTGATCCACTCTCTTGTCTCGACGCATTGCATTTGAAGCAATTTTCTCGTCTCTTGAAATTGAAAACGCCACATTTTCCACAATACCAATCTGTTTGAATTTTATCATATTGTCCATCATTTTCTTTCATGAAACTATATTGAATAATAGCACGGTGTTGATCTTGCAACAATAAGACACCCTTTAGATAAAAGACAAGAACAGAAAAGAAGTATATTAGAAAGATCCGAGACTCGAAAATTGCAAAATTATTCTTCCTGTATTCCCAGAGATTCATTGACATTATTTTTAAAGCATTTTTGACTTGAAACTTGAACTAGATTTAAAGATTATTTCCCCAAAAAGGAATATTTTTAAATAATGTTCAACTTAAAATAATCAATAAAAAATTTGATACTTTAACACCACAGTTTCATCAAACTCTTATAATTGGCATCGTTCATGGTTGCGAAAATTTCTCTTATTTGTAGTTTCTACCTGTTTTTTCTCAATCCAAGTTCTAGCTTCATCGACTGAAGAAAATTGTACGAAACAAAATCCTCTAGATACGCCTGTAATTTTTGAAATGGATGAGAGCAAATAGATAGAATTAAACAGATGCTCTTGCCATTGTGTGATAATTCATTATTGTTTTTTTTTACATGGTTGACAACATTAGAAAATCGTCAACACCTTTACTTTCACATGATACGCAAATAATACTCCATGGCTATTTTTTCATACTTACGACTTATTTATGTGCGAGTCAAAATTGACTCAATATTTTTACACTTCTTTTGTAAAATTAAAGAATTAAGTATGACTGTAATTACCTGTAGATTTCTTCCTTATCAATCGAATCGACACTGGCTTTAATCCGGATTGAATCAGGTCACACTGAATCTAAAATAAAATCATTTAAAACTGCGAAAAATCAATAAAAGTGTGTCGCTTACGTCTGCTTCCGTTATGTGTGCTGGCAATCCACGTACAATTACTTTATTATTGGGTTGTTCGTTGCCATAATTGCTTCCTCCGTCACTTTCTTCACTCTCATAATGTCTCTGTCGTTGCTGCTGATGATGATTGTTCTCTCGTCTATCGGTATAATCCCTAAATAGGACAAAAAATTTAATTACATAATTAAATCAATATTGCGTCAAATTACCTTCTATCACGATTATTTCGGTCTTTGCGTCGATCATTATAATGTTTATCCCTTTAAATGTTATTTTATGAAGTTGTAGAATCTCTCCTTAATTAACTGAAAAATCAATACTTACCGGTTTGACCATGAATCCTCTTCATTCATCTCATTGACATAATTATTATCACGCGACCGTGAACGAGTTCGTCGACTTTAAAAAAATAGAATTTTTAATTCACTGGATCTTTGGTGTCAATTGTTTCTCACTTACCGTCTTGAACTGGAACTGTAATATCCATCGTCCCGATAATTTCGGTCTCTTTTCCGATAATAATCATCATCTCCATTATTATTATAGTTATTTCGATCACGATCTACGAATTTTAAGGCAAATTTTAAAGGAAATTAGATTTTTATGTCTAGAATTTTCTTGTGAGCCATTTTACTCATTGCTTTTCTTTGCGACTTTTTTTAATACTCTTAAAAAGACGTTTAATTGATTCTTTTAACCATTAACTTCACTTTTATATTATTTCTTATTGACTAATGTTTATGATTAAACTGTTTTTTGCTTGATTAAACTGCTTAATCCACTAGAATTAAATTTTTTAACTCTTTGTTTCAAAATTTTCTAATTGGGGGTACAAACTGGTGTGAAAAACTTTTGATAATCTGAAATTCAAATTTTTTGAAAACCGTTAAAAGCAATGTTACATTCAAAAATGACAATTTCAATTTATTTAATTCCATTATATGTTGTTTTGCTGTTGTTGATGTAAAATTATTAAATGTTCATTATAAATAGAATTAAAATAAAGTTTGATATTCATATAATTTTTTAATTCGCATTTTAAAACGAAAATAAATTTGCCGAAATCTTTACAGTTACAAACTGTCAAAAATATTTGTTAATTTCATTAAAAACTTTATCAGTATGCAATATAAAGGATCATCAAAAATAATAATAATCATAAGGAGAAAAAAAAAATACTTAAACATTAATATAAAATATATCAATTATTGTAATAGCATAAATTTTGAAGAAAAAGTAATAATAATAATATAAAGCATAACTTATTTGTTACCATTTCCCAATTAATTTTCGATATCGCATATTTTTAGTTCTCATTTGTGAATAACTGCGACAATCATCATCATACTTGGAATAAGAATTTTTAACATATTTTTGACACTCCTTCTGTAAATCATACTAGCTTAAAAGTGACCTAATTTCTTTATGCATGAAACACAGGAAGTCTACATAACTGTCCGAGCCATTCGTTCCACGATCCTCAATCAAAAAGTGTCGCAAAACCGATTCAAGCTTATCTCTCTGACGAACGAGTGCAATCTAAATTAATATCGTGTAAAAAATAAGCATTTAATTAGTTCAAGTGTATAGATTTAAAATATTTTTATATGTTCTTCTTACTCTCATGCACCGTGTTCTTTCCTTTTGTATTGTCTCAACAATGCCACGTATTCTCTTCGACAATGGATTGTCAAACACAGGCAATCCACTTCTTTCTGTGTCAATTTGTTGTGTGCATTGTGCACCAAACACAGATTGCGTAAATTCTGTCGAAAGTCCAATTCCAAGCCACAAGAACATGTACACTCCATTATCTATAAATAGACATTTTTGCAATCATTTGAAGAAATTTTCAAGATAAATTGAGATTTTTAATGCTATTGCCATGAGCAGCGATTAATATTTTCCTATTTAGCATTTGATAAACTTTTGTTTGTTCAAATTTTCACGGTTTTTGAAAATTCAAATTTAGCAGTTTTCAAAAATTTTAATTTTATGCTCAATTATTTTTTTTAAAAAAAATAACAATCGTCAAAAAGCAGGTCTTACCTAAAATATAAGCACCATCATCAGACATTTTGTCAATCGTACAACGGATAGCTGCAGGAATTGTATTTTCTTCTGCGACAACATTATGAATAGGTATTAAACGTGGATAAAAGAATATAACAGAAGTTGGCAAATCCATCGTACAGACAAAATACATTGCGTATGAGCGATCGTCGAGTGTAATGTCTGAACCACCAGAAAATGCATCATTCTTCAACAAACACGAAATATAAAGTGGTAATAGTTTCAAACATTCTGGTAAAATTAATTGACCAGCTGAAGTTGGTGATGCACAATGTTTTCTATAACATGCAAGAATTTGTGCAGCACGATTCACTATATTATCTCTAAAGACTTTCGGTGAGTGCTCTAATAATCGAGAGATTCCCTATAAATAAAGTTGAATGATTAGATTAACATTAAATCTTGAGATAAAAATAAAATCCATAGATTAAAACTTACTTGCTTGGCAAGGAACAGAGTTAGTGTGTCAAGATCGCAACTTCTGAATAAATCAGCTAATTGTGTGCATGTCTTCAATGCAAGATTTAATATACGTAGTCTCCTCTGTCCTCCGCAAGATGTATAAAGTAATGCAACTTGAACATAAACATTATCTTCTGGTGGCAGCTTATCGTCATGTCTTATTTCTACAGCAACTGACTTGTCACAATCTAAATAAACACAAACATTATTATTAAATATTATTTTATAAAGAGTGAAGCGATGCATTGACTTACCAATTCCTGCAATTTCCATGTCAGTTGTATTTGACATGAAGAAGTGACCATAAAAATCTGTTGGTCTGGTTCCTGTCGATGTTCTTACTCTCATAACAGTATCAAAAGCCACTGGTCGATTGACATTTTTGCAGATATCAGCAACTAATCTCTCGCCATCAATATCCGATTGGAAATATGTATATTTATAAACTTCTCCTCCCGTTAATCTCGAGACTTGCCCAATTGTTGCTAAATCGATATATGCATTATTGAATAAGAATAAATCGACTGTACATCCTGCATGACAGCAATCTTGACCCAAATTATTATAAATATTATTTTGTGGTGCTAATTAGATGATAAAATAAATTAGATTCATTAAATAATTTATAAAAGACATGACATGAAACTTACTCAATACAGTTCTTTCCTTTTCAGTTCCTAACAATTTTCTATCGTCACGATTTTTAAGTTGGCCTGGAGCGTCAGCAATAGGCAATGTTGAGTGAAACACGAGTAATTTTCCAGCACATTCTGAAGCTTTTAAAGCTTCCAAACCGGCTTGAATTGCTGGCATTAAGATAGTTTCTGTTTCACGAGTTTCTCCGTACATTTTAGGAATCTGTTCCATTAATTGATCAATTACATCCTCCGATTCGTCTGGATCTGCCAAAAATCCATCTAATAATGGCATAAACATTTCATGAATATCGCCAACAACAAGCTGTTGTGGTTGAGCTAATGTGCTTTTAATATTATAGAAATGAACTGATTTATCATAAGTAATAAACCCGACACGCATTTTCGACTTCGTCTGGCCCTGATCGACGGGTAAATTTTTGATTATTCGCTTCATTTGTGAGCATAAAAGGTGAACTAAACCGGATTTTACATTATTGTATGAAACATCAATTACAAAAATCATTGCTGGAGGTTTTGGTAGAGTATTATTCTGCAATCAATGGGAGCAATAAGGATAAAGAATGTTAGAGAATTAAATTATTTGACAATCATTTTTGATTGTTAATTTATAAGCATGAATTACTTACTCTACAATAGTCCTTTGTTGCAACAAATTCATAAGTTCCCAAAACCAGTTCAGGACGTTCATATTTATCTACACGCTGACCTGTATGATCCAAATGTTGAAAATATTCAGCTGGAACTAGAAAAGTCAAAAAAAAAATAATTGTTATCAATAAGAACTTATACAGAGCAATACAGAGCATAAGACGATTAAGGGTTATTAACCTTCCGTTGTTGCTTTACACAATAGACATTGAAATCTTCTTCCAGCATCGACAAATTGCATGTAGGGACTCATATAAGCTTTACAGCGAACGCATCTTATTGGTCCAATTTCACCAAAATCAACAATTGGCGGTGCCATTTCTTGTTCGACAGCTTTTGCGAATGGACTAATAATTAATGCGAAAGGAATTGCACTCTGTTTCATCATGTCCGTATTTGCCGGAATGTTATACAATGTTGATCGCATAAATCTAGGTCCAGAATTTCCTTGATCTTGTGAAATGAATTGTGTCGTCACTAAAGGAGGAACTTGTCCAATTTGTAATGTCGAAAAGACACCTCCACATGCTCGCTGATTTTCAGCCATTACTTGAATTGGATTAGGCATTTGATCTGGATCTAAACGTTTTTGAGGAGCTGCAGCTTGCATTGGACTTGTTGGATATCCAGGCTGTTGTTGTTGTTGATAGCCCATTTGTGGAGGCTGATTAATATTCCTATTTGCTCCGGGTGATTGAAATGGAGGCTGTGCTGGCATTCCTGGAAACTGCATTTGAGGCTGCGAATATTGTTGATTAAATTGTCCAGGCATTGGAAGCTGTTGACCAGACATAGGAGGCTGTCCAGGCATAGGAGGCTGTTGACCAGGCATATGAGGCTGTTGACCAGGCATATGAGGCTGTTGACCAGGCATAGGAGGCTGTCCAGACATATTGGGTTGTTGATTAACCATAGGCTGTTGTCCTGGCATTGGTGGCATCGATCTTTGCTGCATAAAAGGTTGTTGTGATTGATTTGACATAGGTGGCATGCCTTGAAATTGTTGTTGTGGCTGCTGTGGCATTGGAGGCATGCCAGGAAATTGATTCTGCTGTTGTTGTGGCTGCATATTGCTCAAAGGAGCTGTCGCTTGATTCACAAATGGGACATTTTGTGGAAATTGATTTACTGGTGGCATTTGTGGAGTTTGTTGTTGAATTGGTTGTGGAGTTTTATTTAATGGAGGCATTTGAGGATGTGCTACATCTTGCATTTGACCATTCTGGATGTTCTGCATGGGATTTGATGATTCCAAGCCCGGAATTGGTGGTCTTTGACCTTGTTGATTGGGTAATTGTTGCTGCATTGTTTGAGGAACAGATGATGGTGGTAATTGCTGAGTTTGTGGTGCCTGAAAAGTGTTTTGTGGCGGTAAATTTGATGAAGGAAATTGTGTCGATGGTGGTTTATTAGCCATTGGAGGCATTTGAGAGCCATTTTGAAGTCCATTAATTGGTGGTTGAGGAAATTGGTTATTATTGTTAATTGATGTTGGTGGCAGCATCATATTTTGGGATGGATTATTGTTATTAATTAATGGCTGAGGTTGAAACTGTTGTGGTGGTTTTTGCGGCCCTAAATTCATATTTGCCATTTGTTGATTAATCTAAAATTAGACCAAGTTTCTTCATATGTTATTATTGTATATAAATAAGATTAAGATTAGTTCCTTACGTTTGTCGTTGGTTGCCACTGTTGTTGTTGTGGTGGCATAGATTGCTGTTGTCCTGTTGGATAAGGATTCATCGTTGAATAGATCTCAAACTCTGTAAGATTTAAAGAACGAATTCAGTCAGTTTCTTGTCTTGTCAGCAAATAATAAACTTTCACAATTGTTATTGCTAGCGAATTCACTCAAATACTAGCTATTTTCAATAAATTAAATTGTAATATCATGATATTGAACAGAATCGAGTAGTTTAAATCGCTATTAATTAAGTATTTAAAATGGTACACGTAAAGAGAATTTCTTATATGAATAATTTCTGATGAGCTGGAAGTTTTCAACTTTTGATGATTTTTGACGAAACTACACGATACTTTAAGATGCTTTCAATTACAAAACTTACCTCCCACAATCAAAAAACTTTTTCAATTATATTAACAATTTTAAATGATCGATAAAATAAGTAAATTAATATTTTTACTAGTTTTGAAAAAATTATTATTTTTTTGAATCAAAACGAATAATTTTGAATGGGTTTCAACCCCTTGACTCAACTATAATTCAAATTTTTCAAAAACCGTTAATTTTGACATTGAGATTAATTGAGATTATGCAATGATAAGACGTTATCTCGGATGATAAATGAGTCATAGCTGTAGATTTTAGTGTCATCACACGTGCATATTGTTATCTAGAAACAGTAAGTCAAATATTATCATCCGATTATTTTACCACGTTTTTCTTAACTTGCTTTCTTGTTTTTTTGTTTGCAAAAAATTTCAAATCTTGCGATCGATTTTTCGACTACTTCTACTTCTCCAATCGAGCTAAAATTTTGCATGCACTTATCTTTCCGTTGACAATACAATATTCACGAATTTGTCGAGCTTAGAAATGCTTAATTAAAGTAAAAAAACATTTAAATTATGAAAATAATCCAATGTCAATGATAGGCAATTTCAATGAATTTTCACATCAGTTGATAACACCTTTATGAAACTGAAAATGAATCAATGTTGTTTGATGTATCATTATATACTGAAAACATTAATTAATGTAGATTTTTTTTGTACATTTTGAGAAATCTGACCAGAAAACATTTTTAGCAAGTCATTTTCTCATGGAAATTTTTGATGAATATTTGAATTTTGAAAACCGTTAACATTTGAATTAATCAAAACCGTTAAACTCAAATCTGTAAATCAATACAAAAATGTAATCGATTTTTACCACGTGGATCGATGGAGACTTTCTATGGTTTCGTTCTAGTTTACAAACTTATGCTGTGCGATAGAAAGTAAAGATGAAGACTTTCTATTGTAAAAGTCTAGTTTACCCGTGGACTGAAAAGTAGATAAAAACTTTTTTATTGGGTTCAAAGGATATTGGTTTGAAAATTTGAGATTGATTTGAAAGTTTCATACTAAAGTCATGACCATACATGAATTGCAAATTTGTTCAATTCGACCATATCGTATAGTTCTACATCTTAAAACGTGGGCGCATCTAATGAAATTTAAGCTCTCCAAGTATACAATATTAATGAATGCGCCCACGTTTTAAGATGTAGAACTATACGATAAGGTCGAAGTGAACAAATTTGCAATTCATATATGATCATGACTTTAGTATGAAACTTTCAAATCAAACTCAATTTATCAAACCAATGTCCTTTGAACCCAATAAAAAAGTTATTTTCTACTTTTTAGTCCACGGGTAAAAACGTGTTTTTTTAAAAAGTTTTTTTTTTAATCACGCATACTTTATAGTAACCAACACATACAGGCACACATAGTCAGTCGAAGTCTATTATTTCCTTTCCTGCACTAGATATTTTAATTATTTTAATTAACTAGAATTATGGCTGATAAAAAGGAAATTACTCAAAATGTTAAGGATGACGAGTTGGATGAGCTATTAGACAGTAAGTTTATACATATCAATTGTCATTAGTAAGTGATTATGTTGCATCACAACTTTTTTCGCCTCTTTCAAGGTGCTTTGGAAGATTTTGAAAAAGTCTCTGGAGCTTCCAGTACACAAAAATCGAATAATAGCGATGATGTAGAGGATCCACCAATGGAAACACTATGGAATGAAGAGTTTATTAGAGATCAAGCAAAGCTATTTGAAGAACAAATGCAGAAAATGTTTGGGGCAACTGGAAATGAGCAGGTCTCGCCAGAACAAATGACACTCGGATTCCAAAGAATTGCAGAAGCAGCTGCCATGTCAGTTGATCCAAGTCAAGCTGCTCAAGTTCCAGATATTGATCCAGCATTTACACAAAGCATAAAGGAAGTTTTAAAAGGATTTAGTGAAGGACAGCAAAACTTACAGCAACCATTCAATTCAGAGGACATAGCTGGAATGTTTGGAAACATCAATTTGAATGAAAGTGGAGAGAATAATGCATTTTTACCATTCATGCAAGGTATGATGCAAAGCTTGTTATCAGCTGAAGTCTTATTGCCTAGTTTAACAGAGCTAAAATCAAAATATCCAGAATGGCTGGCTGAAAATGGACCAAAAATAACACCAGAAGAAAAGGAACGATATGAGAATCAATATAAGTTAATGCAAGAAGTGTGTACTGAGTTAGAAAAAGAAAAGGAAGATGATAGTGCTGATGTCAAAAAAGATCGTTTTAATATTGTCCTCGATCGAATGCAAAAAATGCAAGATTTGGGCCAGCCACCTGCTGAAATTCTCGGTGAAGGTGCTGAAAATCCAGCAATTCCTACAATGCCAATCGATGGTGCACTTAATAACGAACAGTGTTCATTAATGTAATTTCCCCGATCGCAATTTCCGAGCTTGTGTTTCCTCTTATGGTTTTATTGCAGTTTATGTTTGTGGTTTTAATGGGAAAAACTTTACTTTATTATTTTCGTTACCAATTTAATACATGACGAAATGGATTGTGAGAAAAAAAAGATTATATTGCTATATATTTTGTTTCAAATTCGACAATGAAATAAATTTTAGATAATTTATTTTAATGAACTGGTTATCTTATTCTTAATTTGAAATTTGACAATAATTACGATTTACAAGAAGAATCGACGACGATTTCCTTCCATTTGATGTCTCTTATTTGTTATCATCCACTCATAATCGCCTGTTTTGCTATCAAATAATCCTTGTTGAAGGGAACGAAGTTTTAAAGTAAATTTTGGACCTAATTCTAGGAGCCTTACTCTATTTCCATCTTTGTCAAATTCATAGCGATGATGTCTAAAGAATATATAGTCACGTTGATTATGGAAAGTGACTGCTCTGCGTCCTTTAAATTGTGGCTCATAATGGAAAATAGCACCCAACATACGACCAATTGTTGTACCTAATCTTGTCGTGAAATTCGTTAGAATTACTTCTGGTCGATGTGATGTAAAATCTGATAACTTTCTCTTTATATCCTTTGTTAATTTCACATTGCTGACTTTAAAATGAGCTGTTGGACCGTTTGGAAGATGAATTAAAAGCAATCCATTAACTTTCTTACGATTTTCATTGAGCACTAAAACATCTGTGTACTTTTCACGTTCAGCACTGGCACAAACTTTCTTAATTGATGATCTATGACGAGTTGTGGCTAGTGAATTTGGGATAATTTGTGTCAATTCTTTAGCAAATCCTCTTGTTCTTGAGCATGGATTATCAGAGTATGTTATGAGAACTTTTGGCTCGTAAGCCTTGCTGAAATATTCAGAGAATTCATCCAGTTCTATTTCCTTTTTTGTTTCTTCATTTTCAGAGTCTTCTAAATTTGTTACAACTGTTTGATCTGTTTCTCGAAGACTCTCAATTGTATGTCCTTTAGATCTAACGCCAGGCATTTGCTGTCTCATTTTTCTAGCCTTTTTATCCTCTTTCTTTTTTTGTGCCTGCTCTTTTCTGAACACTTTATGGCGAATTTCCTTGTTCTTAATGTAATTAAGTGTGTTGATTGAAGGATATGATGGTCCATCATACTCTGCTTCTCGAGCAAGTTTCTCTGCTTCCTCTAAAGCTTGTCTAGCAGCCTAAAATTATATTGTTTACAAATTGAAATTGAGGTTAAATTAGTTTACATGTTTTGAGCATGTTAATTAAAGTATTTTACCTTCTCATTCAAATAATCCTTCAATGTTTTTCGTTTCTTAACTAGTTGTGCCCCATCATCTTCCTTTTCGTCCATAGAATCATCGCTATCATCAGAATCATCTTGTGGTTCTTTTTGTTTTCGTTTTTCGGGCAATTTCTTCTTTGTTTTCGTCTGTTCTTTACCTTCCTCTGATTTCTGGCTAATATCCGAATCAGAATCGCCAAAATTCTCACTTGAACTCTCACTCATTCTTGAGATATTAATTAATTTAAGAACTTTTGAATTTATTTTGGTGTGCGTTTAAAAATCACGTCACAATTTTAAAGTTTTAATTTTATAAGTTCGTTATTTTTTACTTTTCTTTGGCAGCAACTAATACACAATGATTCAGATTCGGAAAAAATTTTCAAAAATTCCTTGTGCACATTATTTTTCTGACACATTAGAAAATTGAAAGTTTTTGTTGATTTCTTTTGATTTGATTCTTTTAGCATCTTCTACATAATATTTTCGTTCATTGCTCAAAAAATCAGTCCTTAATATAAAGGATAAACATGATTTTTTACCAAAAGTTTGTAAAAGTTTATCAAAACATATTGTGCATGATCAAATTTTGTATGAAATTTTATGCAAACTTTGATCGCAAATATCTCGAAAACGGAATCAAACGGCATGTCCTCAGTAATATGGGAGATAGATTTAAGCTCAATTAATTGATTTATATAGGTTTCAGAGAGGTCTTTGGAAGACTTTTTAACTTATGAATAGTTTAAGTTTTGTAATAATACTCAGATTTCAATTCCACTTTTAAGGCTTAATAAGCAGATTTCTATTGAGTTGATTGTTTTAATATGTAAAGCTAAGCTTAAATTAGCTAATAATTGCTTCCAAGACATCCAAATAACAACTTAAAGTAGAAAAAATCATATTTTTTTTTTCATACTCAAATTGTAAACAAATTTTGGGTGAGATTAAATTAATGATTTCAGGAGTTAGACAGCAAATAGGACGAGATATTTTCATAGGATATGCCTTAAGTTAAGATCTTTAATCTGGCATTTAAAAAATGAAGTTTAATTAATATGTTATTTTTGAATTTTTGAACATTTTTTCCGATTTTGAATCATTGTGCTACCTAAGCAAAACACACATACATTTATAATTTATTTTGACTGTGTGCGTAACTTTTCAAATTTTAAAAAATTTGACAGTTATTCTTTCACCACGTGACTGAATTTTTAACAATTTTATTGAATTTAATAAGATCTGTTTAAAAAATATCAATTTTGTTGATAATTTTAAATTGTCTGTTGGAGTGAAAAAGATTTGAAAATTTAGGTCTAATGTTTAGATGTCGAAACTTTTTAGGAATTTTAGCAGTAACCGATTTTAGCATAAGTCATAGCATAAATTTCTGAACAACTTACTCTGTTCAATAAAATTTTTATATTTCGGGTTTATAGAGCAAATAACAGCATAAAAATAGCGTAAAAAGTTGCATTACAACTTAATTTCTTTGAATATTATACGCGATAGGCTGAAAAATCAGGATATTGAAGTTTAAAAGTGTAATAAAAATTGTCTTTTAATATCTATCTGTATATAGCTAAAAATGTATATGCTTCAGTTTATGTGCTAAAAACAATTGTTTTTATTTACGTTGTGCATGCTTAAAAATAGCATTGGAGATAAATGCAAAACTTTTGGCAAACACTTTTCTGACATGAAAAAAAAAAATTAAATGAAAAATGGATCAAAATTCAAAGGAAAAAAAGTTATTCTTCTTTGGTCAACCGGGATGTTTGAAAGTAAAGTTTGACATTCCAATAAGACCGTCGGATAATTCTGATTCCCAAAGCGATGATAATGAAATAGATGAAAAAAATAATTCGCAAGGAACGTCCGATAATACGCTGATTGACGATAAAAATACTACAACCAAAAAGGCTGAGAACTCATCAGATGAAGATGGCGAAGAATTGCTAAAGAAAATTGATGCCGCTTTAGAAGTCAAAAATGAGCATCAAAGCGAAGGTAAAATTTTTTTTTTGTGGGTTTAATCGGTTTAATATAAAACTTTATTAACATTAATTTTAGAAAATTCTGAGACCTTATCGAGCCAAACTATTAAGAAAATTCCAATAATTGACGCTTCAAACAATCATGTTGAAGAAGTTTCTACTGAAACAATCCAAAAAGAATCTAATAGCATTGAAATACAAAGTTTTGAGTCAAGCACAAATGAAGAATCGCAAAATAAATGTGAAGAGAAAAGTGCCTTAGAAAAAGCTTCTTCAGCGAATACAGAAACTATAACGGAAAAAATCCAGAATGTATACAATATAAAAAGTGTAGATAATAATATAGAAGTTAATGTCGAGAATAGTTTAGTGGCGATACATGAATGTAAACCAATCGAATTAAAAAGTGAAGAAATTAGTTCTAAATCTCTCGAATTAATGGACGAAAAGTCAGAAGAGTCTGACAATGCCGTTGAAAATCTCATTGAACCATCACAAAACGTAGATACTATTTGTGAATCAGATGAAATTGTTGAAAAAATGAAAAATGTAGCGCCAAATGAAAGTTCTTTTGAAGAGAAAAATCTTGAGAAGGAAGAAGTTTCATTAAAAGAAGTGGAAAATGTTGAAATTGAATCTAGGAGTGAAATCCCTGTAGATGAAAAATCTCATAAAGAGATCGACGAAAACAAAGAAAAAGAGATACACAGTGAAAACTTAGCTTCAGAATTGCTTGATAATCAAACTGAAATATGTGAAAGTTCTGTGAATAACGAAGCAATTGATCCTGTGATATTTAAAATTGATCAAAATGACGCGAAACCTAAATCTGATAAAAATACTTCTTCCGACGATCAAGCACCCTCGACTTTAATAACTGAAGATATACAGATTTATCATTCAAAAACACAGGATACCACTGATAATGCAAATGTAATAACGTTACCAGATCTTCAAGGAAATGTTTCAAGTGAAAATCTAAAATCAGAAATTATTTTCTCGGAATCAATCCACGAAACTAATGAGAAACTGGCAATTTGTGAAAGTGATTCAACAACTCTACACGAAGAAATAAAAAGTAATCAAGTGCCGAATGATGACAATACTTGTCTGTTACAAGAATCGCAAGTATTAACTAATAAAACTAGTATTAAAAATTATGAAGAATCAGGACCTAAGAATGACAATTTAGAACTCAAAAATGAAAATATAGAAGCTAAGGAAAAAACATTACAACATGACGATAAAAACATAAAAACGACACAAGAAAAGCAATTAAAGATGACTGACGTTATAGAAAATGTTGAATCTCAAACTCAAGAAACAGAACCATCTCACGAAGAACTTATTAATGAAAATATAGCTTCAATTGAAACGCAAATAGATGAGTCATTAATTGAGACAGAAAATACTCAAAGTAAAGAAGAAAAATATATGCAGAAAGATCAGACTGAAAAAAATTTATGCACTGAAATTGAAATAATAGAAAGCACACAAGTTTCAAATTTAGAAAAGGAAGCAACAGAGTGCAAAGACGAATTTGAATCTGTTAAAGTTATTCCAGGTCTTGAAAGTAGCGAAATAAACAATACGGAAGTTAAATGCAGCGACAATCAAGCTTTAATATCTGAAATGCCACCAAAAAATGTCGATGATGATCAAGTTTTAACATCAGATCTGGTTGAAAAGCAAAAAGGAGAATTTAAAGACAATGTCAATACTGAATCTGTTGAAGAAATCAATCCATGTCTTGAAGCGTGCGACATGAACATCACTCAAATTGTACCTGATCAAGAAATAAATCAACAAACTGAACTTCAATCTGGGAATCTTGCTCTAGTAGGGAAATCAAGTCAAACTGTGTCAGATACAAAAGAATTCAAAACAATTGAGTCTAGAACTGAAGACATTAAGGCCGATGAGCCTAATAACATCGAATCTACTGATATAGAACCATGTTCAAATTTGATTTCTCAAAATGTTGAAGACACTGTTGAAAATACTATGAATGAAAAGTCTTATTTCGTTGAACAAAACCTGAAGGAAGAGCCTGTATCAGAAAGTAAAGAACAGAGTCAACCAGAAGATCAAAAATTGGAAAAACATCGAGAAATAAGCACTGAACCTGAGGAATCTTTAGCAAAAAAAGAAATTGTGGAAGTGTGTGCTTTACAAGAACAAAACACATGTATTCTGATGGAATCTCAAGAATGTGAAGAAAAAGAAGAAATTTCAGAGAATATTGAAGAACAGAATGTTAATGAAAACTCTGTTGATCAACTAAGTGTAAAGATCGAGTCTGCAAAAGAAAACATTCAGAAACCTGTATCCATGGAAATTGAAGATGTCGAGGAAACTGAATTTAATTTGCCAGTTGAATTAAAGACTAAAATTTCCATCCAATATGAAAGCACATCAAAAAAAGATCCAATTTTCGTTCAACCTACTGAAGAATATGAATCAAGTGACAAAGAAGAAGTCGTGGAGATAAATGATCAAAATATTGCTGAACAGCCTGAGAATATTACAGATAGTATTCCTACAAATTCTAGCGATTTATCAAGTAAAGGAGTTAGAGAGAATGAGAACTTAGAAATTGAACAGATTAAACCAATAGCGGAGATTATCATCCAAAAAGAAAATAAACCTATCGAAGAATGCAAAACCATTGAAACACATGAAGGCAAAGAATCAAAAACGCAATATGAGGAAGTTCAACAAAATGTGGTTACTCTTGAAAGCAATAAAAAAATAGATTCTTCTTTTGCAACTGAAACTTCAAATTATGATGCTAATGTTGAAAATATTGAGGATGCAAAAGCTACAGAAATGCCAAATGTAGAAAGCGAAAATCAAAAATCTCAAGAAGTAGAAATGTTATCACAAAATCAAAATAACGAGATCGAGCAAGTTGATATAGAAGAAAAAGTTTTGGAGCAACATCAAAAATCTGAAATATCTGATAATCTTAATCTGTCCGAAGCCACAACATCAATTGTTGAAGAAAAGTTTATCTGCGAGAGTAAAGAAATAATTTTGAAAGTCAATGAAATATATGAACCGCAATTCATTAATGAAGATCAAAAAAGCTTGAACCAAGAAAAAGAAATAATTCCAGACACAAACGAACTTGAAGTTTTTCAATTCGATGAAAATCCCAAACTCGAATCTAACCAAGGAAATAGAAATCTTGAAAATGAAAAAGAGATTGATATACCCGAAAAAATTGAAGAAAAGGTCGAATCTCAATATATCGAAAAAAACATACAATATCAAAATCAAGATTGGAAACCTCAACCACCAAATGAAAAACTCAATGAAATTGATTGTAGTTATAGTGTAGAAAACAAAGAAACAGTTCAAAAAGCAAGTGATAAACCAGAAGTATTAAGAGAAATGCCCAAAGAATCCTGTGAAGATAAAACAAAAGAAATGACAATTGAAACTCAACCAGAATTTAAAAAAGAACATGAATTTTTAAATCAAAATATTGAAAAAGTTGAATTGTCACCTTCTTATACAGACTCTGAAGATATACAAACTCTAGAAATTGATATTTCAGATGAGAAAGATCCAAAAGAATTTGTTGATTTTAAAGTAAATCAGGAAAGTAAAAACAAAAATGAATGCAAAGAAGAGTTGTTAAGTTCAGGCAGCTCAATTGATGCAGAGAGTAATTTAAAAGATGAAATTGAAGTCATTCCTCAAAAATCGATAACAGTCGAAGAAAATTCAAATGAAAAAATTAACGATAATCAAGTTGAATTGTCAAAAAATGATAACAAAAGCTCGAGCTTTGAAAAAGTTTCTCCATTAGAAGTAATTAATATTCAAAATGAAATTTCTGAGGATTTGACTAAAAGTAATACTACATTGATTGATGAAGAGAGTAAATTAGATGAAAGTAGTTCTGTTGCACAAATTGATAAAGACATTCAACTTCCATTAAGTGAGAACTTTGATGATCAAAACATAGAAGAGAAAAAAGTGAAGTTGAAAACAGAAAAGCAATATGAGCTAATTACTGGGCGCCACACAGAAGACAATTTGACTGATGAAAAATGTAAAGCAGACACAAATATTGAAGTCAGTAAAGAAGTTGTAGAGAATTTAACAGAAAAAATTATTTTAAACGAAATGTCCATGAAAGTGGTATGTACGGATAATAACCAAGATAACAATGAAACACAAGATGATCCTAAAGACACGATGGAATCAGATTCTAAATGCAGCGAAACTGTTATTCCACCGATAGAAAAAATAGCAATAAATGTAGAAATTGAAAATAAATTAGCACTTAAGAAAACAACCGAAATAGTTGATGATAAATCAAACCTTGAAGAAAATATAGAAATTCTCAGCATGCATATTTCAAAAGCTTCTGAAGAAAGTGCTAGTCCTTTGGGTCAGAAGCAGATTGATGAGGCTGTATTTGTAAAACACGTAGAACTAGAAGCAGATGACAAATCATATCTTGACGATTCTGGAAGTAAAGAAATACTCAGCATGGATATATTAACATCTCCTGAAAAAAATGTCGGCTTATTGGACCAAAAGAAAGCTTCGGAAGCCGCACTGTTAAAACACGTTGAACAAGCTGGTGAAATCTGTACTACTAAAACCGTTGAGGAACAAAACGAACTACCACCTGTTGATCCTTTAGCAGAAGTAAATCCAGAACCTAAATCAATGAATGTTTTTGATGATTTACTTGATAAAGAGACCAAATTAGAATCAATTCCCATCACAAAATCATTTCAAAAGCCTGTCTCAACAAGAAAGAGAAAAATATCTGAACGTAAAAGTATTTCGGAAAGTGATAGTGATGCTGGAACTCATTTTGTCACTGATTCTATAAGCAATGAAAAATCATCAGATGAAGAAAGTGTAGCTACTAAAAAACCAAGAATTCGAAACAAAATCACAGCAACAAGAAATACGAGAGCTACACGACAAAGCGCCAGAGTTTCAGAAGAAGCAAAATCATCACCAGAATTAAAAGCAAAGGAGCAAATAAAGCCTGAAATTGAAGAGAAGACATTGCAAAATTTGAAATTTGACTATGACGAAAATGAAGATATTGCATCAAAAATGGCTGCAATTAAAACTTTGATATGCAAAGAGACTCCGAAAAAGGCAGACGATGAATCATTGATTGATAGCAATGAATCAAGCGCTGATGAATCATTAAATCAGAAACCGATACGAAAAGGTAGGAAAAGCAAAAGAGGTAGGACAGGAAAAAAGAATGATGCTCAAGAATCAAGTTCCGATGATTCAAAATCAGCAAAGCTTCCTGACAGCAAACGGTCTAAAACGTCAGAGTCGGAAGAAACTCCTGCTGAGAAGCAATCAAGAAAAAAACGAGATAGTGCTGGAAAAGGTAGTAATTTAAATTTTTACTGTCATAATATAAAGCTTCTCTAAAAAAAATCTTTAATTTTAGGTCTTCTTAAGTATATTGACACATCTCTGGTGATTGAAACAGTTGAAACCGAAGCGCCAATTAGACAATCAAGAAGAATAGCACAACAAAAAATCAGGGAAGAAACAGAGCGACGACAAATGGAGGAAAAAATGCTCAAGCAAATGAAAGCAGAAGCTGAAAAGAAAAAGAAAATGGCATCAATTTCCGGGCCACCAGATGAAGAGGAAGATAATGATCGTAGCAGTGATGAATCATACAAAGATTCTACAAAAAAGAAAAAGACTAAAATAAAGCCTTCAGATAAACAATGGCAAACATCATCGTCACATTCTGAAAATTCAGAATCCGAAGATGAATTCGAACGTCCTCAATCAGAAGATCCTGGCAGTCCATTATTCCGAAGTGATCACGAATTTTCACCAGGTATGAGGTTGAATATTACTTCCAGAAATGTCTTTCATAGATGAAGGGGGGGGGGGGGGGGGGGAGGGGTATAGATTGAAGTCAATCGAAATTTTTTTCTTCTTTTATTGAAACTTTGACAAATTTTTTCAGCAAAACTTTTAATCAAACTTTAATTGAAAAATTGTTCTGAAAAATTATCGCCCATTCTTCGATTGAAAATGGGTCAAAATTTTGACCACAAAAATTCCAAACTCATTTTTTTCTGAACATTAAAACTGGTCAAAACGGAAGTAAAAAGAAGTAAATATTCATTTTATCGAACAAAAAAGCAACGAGCAATCGATAAAAAGTTAAATTTTATGCAAAAAAATTCTTTGCATTTTCATTCTTTGCAAAATTTCAACTAAAATTTTTTTTCAAAAAATTAATCAAAAAATTTTCAACGAAAAAACTTTGATCAAAATTTGTTCGATGTGTATGGTTTATGTAATTTTTATATTAATTTTAGAATCTGATGACGACGAAACACCAGAACAACCTTTAAAACGTGCTCGTACAGCCAAAAAACAAGTAGAGGAATCATCTGGTGATGAAGACGTGAATCCAAATCATGCTTGCCAAGCTTGTCACAAGACCGACTGTCCTGAATGGATACTTTTGTGTGATGAATGTGATCATGGCTATCATTGTTCGTGTCTTAAACCGATTATATTTTGCATTCCATCTGGAAATTGGTACTGTCCATTGTGTTGTCACAAAAAACTCGTCGATGATCTGTCATTACAGCTAGAAAAATTAGATACTCTTATAGTTAACATTAAAGCAGAAGAAATAAGACAACAAAAGCAGCTTGAGATTAAAAAACTCGCAGAAATTACACAAGAAAATATTTTAAATGACAAACGTAAAAAACGATCTGAAAAAAAAGCTAAAGAAGATCAGTCCAGGGGCTCTAAAAGTCGTCGTGAATCAAGTAATGATGGAAGTGAATCAAACGATGATGAATCTTCTGAAAACTCGTCTGACAATGAGCCTCTTAATGAAATATTTTATAAGTTAAGAAGAAGAAATCAAGCAACTCCTTCTTATCGTTTTAACGATTACGACGATCTAATAAATTCAGCTATTAAACGTGATATGGATGAAGTAAAGGGTTTAGGAAATGCCGGTCGTGGAAAAGATATTTCAACAATCATTGAAGCTGATAAAGAAGAAAAAAAGTTACAAAAAATGGAACATGAAAAAGAAACTGATGTCAAGGATGAGAATCAAAGTGAGCATCAAGAAGGCGAAGAGTCTAGTGGCTCAGACATTATTCGTCCAAAGAAAGCTATGCAACGAAAAAAGAAAAATCGTAAATTAAATAATCTTGATGCAACATCTGAGGAAGATCAAGCCTCGGATGAAGATTTTAAAGGAACCCCATCTACAAATAGTGATACTGAAGAAGAATATTCGATATCTAGTAATGATGTAAGTGAAAGTTCTTTAGATTTGCCTTTGAAAAAAGGTAAGGCTGGTAAAAGAAGGACACGAAGTGCTGCAAAACATCGTCGTTATGATCAGAATTTTATAGATGACAATACCTCTGATGAGGAACCTTTAATAAAAAAGAGAGTTAGAAAACAGCGTGAATCTGACGAGGAAGAATTTGATGCAAACGAGGAAAATTCAGATGGATCTACTCCCGAAGATATTGATTCAGAAGATTTGTGCGACGATACCGAGTCTGATGATAGTTCTGAGAATAATTGGCCCAAAAAAAAGAAAAAGAGAAATGCCTCTTATGACATAAAGAAACCTCGAAAACATCCAAAGAAAACTGATGGTGGTAAGGACAAAGCTTTTCGAGCTGGAATCTCAAAGAAAAAGATTTTAAAAGTATCTGAAAATGAAAGTGAGGCAAGCGAAAATGAAAGTGACAAAGGACGTCGTAGAACAAGAGGAAAAAAACTTTTGTACTTAATAGAAGATGATTATGAATCTGACGATGGAATTAAACCAGGTATAGGAGTTGTACGACCAGAAACACCTCCAGAAGAAAGAGAATTATTTGTGAAGAAACAGGAAGAAATTAAAAGAATGCTGGCAGAAAAAAATACTGAAGCTGCAAGACAACTTGCGGTTCCTACAATAGAACCAATTAAATTTGCTCTTGAAAAACCAGAATCTCCCATACCACCACAACTTACGTCTGATGAATTGGCATCATTATCGACAATTCCAAAGAATGTAATTGAAGGAGCAAAAGCTTTAGACATGGATTATAATAAAATCAAACCAATTCATTTTGGTGTTCATTCAAAAACATCTGATCATCCATCAGCACATGACATGAGTGAAGAAGACTTGGCGAGAATGATGGAAGAAGAAGATTTCGCTCAACATCAATTAAAGATGGTAGGTGAAACAATTAATCGGAATAAATTGTTAGAACTAGAAGTGAAAGAAGAAGCGTTTGCAAATATTGGAAAAAGTGGTAAAATAAAAGAAGAAAAGGAACCTGAAAAACTTGCACATCCTGAAACAAAGAAACGAGCACGAAAGCCAAAACAAGACAAACAAGCTGGTGAACTTTCATCTCCACCAGCAAAAATGATGCAAACTGAAGCAGCTTTACAAAAAGGTCCAGTAAATCAACATTTTGCACAACTAAATGTTCCTGTATCAATTCCACTCACTCATGAACCAACAAAGCCTCATACTCAAAATATTCCATCCGTTCCACCTTTAATTTCAAATCCCATATCTCATTCTCCCTATTCAACTATGCCACCACGTTATCAAGGACCTCATCATTTAAATATTCAAGACAGACCTTCAGTTCTAAGCAATTATATGCCAAGACACGAAGGCATGCCACCGAGACTGGAAGGAATGCGTCCAAGATTAGAAGGTATACCACCTAGGCTAGGTATGCAGCCAAGATTCGAGGGAATGTTATCACGATTAGAAGGAATGGGTCCAAGAATGCAGGGAATGCCTCCAAGATTAGAAGGCATGGGATCACGACTTGAAGGATTACCACCACGATTAGAAGGAATTACAGCTCGACTTGAAGGAATGGCAGCAAGATTAGAAGTTGGTTCACCGCAACAACATTTGAGATTTCCTCATCAACCGCCCGAAGGATTCTCTCTTAAATCACCACCAATTGCGCCTCAACATAACGCTTCAACAAATGAAGAAGGTGAGGAAAAGAAAAAAGGGAGAAGAAAGAAGTATACTCCCTTACGTACTGATTTAATAGATTCTAATGCATCAAAAGTTGCAAAGTTGGAAACTCCAACAACCTCGTCTGTTATTCACTCTACATTGAACTTATCAACAGAACGTCCTGATGACAAAAGTAAAGGTAAGAATAAAATTAATATAACGAGCCTTTCAGTTAATAATAATTTTGATATTTTTAGCATCTCTGCCGCCACTTCAAAGAGTTAAACCTGAAATTTTCAATCCAGCAACGAATCCACCATCATCTGTTATTACTCGTTTATTACAGCCTCAACAAAGACCATCGTTTGGTGGTAAGTTTTAACTTTTTTTTGAATTTTAAGTGATGAATAATCAGCTTTTAATTCTCATTGGAAAAGGTTTTGTAGAACAAATGAACGTTTCTGTGACGAGTGCAAATAATCCTAATGCACCAACAAATCCTAGGGCTTTTCCAGAAGAGTTGAAGCATCATCCAATTGCAAAACAAGTGAGACCAGGACAACAATCCCAATTCCCTGAAAATCCTTTCGTCCCGCGTGGTATGCACACTCTTTATAGGTATGATTAAAATTTGGTTATATGTGTTGACAATTGAATGTAATTGTTTATATTTTGCAAACTCTACAGAGGTCCACCGACTACTCAACCATCAATTTATGGAATTCCGTCTCATCATGCACGAATACCCTACCCATTTCATTTGCATCCAAACAACAACCTAAGACCTAATATGCAAGAATATGGTAAGATATTTAAATTAACTACAATTTAAATTATAAACATTGTTTTAATGTATTATAGGTGCTCCTTATAATATACCTCCACAATTTGGATATTATGCACCGCCAGCTCATAGTAGACAACATCCATCGAATCCAGCAGCACCCCCATTAAGTCATCAAGAGCATCCAGATTTACCTCCAAATAACGCAAGACCTAGTAATAATAACATAAATCCAAATGATGAGCCAAGCGAATCTAGCGAATTTGGTGGGTTAGTAAGTTACTTTAGTTCACAACAGGAATTAGATTAAGTTATTTTTTCATCTTCTAATAACTTATATATCAGAATTAATTTACTAATTTATGTATAATGAAATTTAATGAAAATATCAGACTAATTTAAAAAATAGAATTTTTATTGTATTATCATGTATCTTATCATATTTATCATGAACAATAAAAAAAAACGTAATTTATAAAGCAATATTCTCTTTTATTATTGTAATTTCTTTACGTCAGCATAGAGTTTAGTTGTTGTACTCTCATGACGTCTGTTGAATGGGGGACATTTCAAGGAATCCTTCAATAACACAAAATTAAAAGTTCAGCGCTCGCTTGAAGGATTCAATTATTTCAAAAGTAATACAGCTTAAAACTTAAATTTGTGCAAGTTTACATTTGATGGATATATTCATTATTTTTTAATAAAGAATAGGAGAGACAAGAAGTCTATGAGCAATGTTCAAAAAGCCAACGGTTTTGTTATTTTTGAGTTTTTGTTTTTATTCGTTTTTGCACAGATTTTGGAGAGCTTTCCATTAAAAAATCACGCAATTATTTTGACAATTTATTTTTGTTAATTTTAGTTGATTTACCGACCATTTCAATTTACTTTAATTAATATGAGAAACTTTTTAGTAAATAAAGACTACCTACATGATGTTTATTAAAGAAACTCTAGAATAGTTTAGTAAATGACTCATTTGTAGAGAAAATCTCATCAAGTTTTTAGTACTTAAACGAATTATCCTGGTAATAATTTTAATTACAGAACAGTTTTAATACGAATACAATCAAATTAGCATTACTTTTAAAGCGATCAAAAATTGTGAGTTTAAAGTGGAAATAGCATCATCGACTAGAGATTAAACATCCACCATCTTGAAAATTTTAAAAAGTTTCCTTTGTCTTAGATCGCAACTTTAATTAAATATTATTCGTTTTTAAGCCTTTAAAATAAATAATTTTTGATCAGAGTTGCTTAAAGTTTATGATAGATGTGAAGAATAGTCAGTTTGATTACAAATAACCTATTATTACAAAATTGTGAAATAATTGGATCAAAAAAAAATTGCAACATCGTCTTACTAGTTATTTGTGTGATTTAATTATATTTTCCTGCTTTAATTCATCCATTGTGATACCTCTAAAAGTTTCTGTACCTTATCAGTGATTATAATCTTACGGAAAATTCAATCAAAAAGGATTCCATTTTGGGTTTTTGAAGCAAAATAAAAGAGCTACAAGATCATCACAAGTTTTTTTTGAGGAAAGAAAAAAAATAGAAAGTACAAAAACAGTATAAGTCGAATATATTCGTTCGTTCAACATAAAAAATATAAAAACAAGAAAACATTCACCAATTTGAGCATCATGAAAGTGGAAATTAGTTCTGCCGCAGACTTTCTGATGAATTTATTGCGCGTAAGACAGCAAGAGAATTCTTTATCTGAAACTCAACTACATTCATTTAGAGGCTCTTTAATTACTATTCTTCACGAAAAATTTCGGGATCATTGGTACATCGAGAATCCAAGAAAAGGTAAGCATCATACAACCCATATAAAAAAAACAACAACCCAAAGTCCACAAAATGGTCCTTAGTTTTTATTATGACGAGATTATGTGTTATGTCTTGAATACGTTACTTTACCATTTTTTTTTATTTCTCACTAATACAAATGAGTCATTTCAATGGAAATGCTAATATCTCAGATTTCCTGATATTTCGTATTTATTATTTTTTAACTCTTCGGGTATGTAATACATATATCATACCATCAAAAATTTTGCAATTTGGCATCTTTTTGTTTGCTATGAATTAAGTTATGAATTTATTGACTGAGTTGAAATAGTAAATTTTCGATTTGGGCTGGACTTATATTCACATAATATCTCGTCTCGTATAACTACGCCATAAAAGAAGAAAAAATAGAGCTCCAAACAAGTAAATAAAATTTAATTTATTATTATTTTTTTCTCCCATTTCTCTTTTCTCCTTTCTTCTTAAATTGCATCTGAAATCACTCAATAACGTATACTCTCTCACACACACACACACACAACAACAACAACGTCATCAAAAATGCAATAAAAAATGGAAAATAAAGGAAGTGGCTTTCGATGCATCAGAGTCAACGCCGAAATTTCGGATCCCTGTATTTCAAAAGCAGCAAACAACTGTTGTATTAGTACAGGTGTGATTCGAGACTTATTACCACAAGAGATTACTTTATGGATCGATCCAACGACAGTATGCTATCGAATTGGTGAGAATGGCTCGATATCGTGTCTCTACGATGCTAATCGATCAAGTCCATCGAACTCATTAGATTCGACAGAGAGTAGCGAGGATCGTTGCGAGATTTCACCCGAAATCAATAAGTTAGTTTTAGATTTATACGAGAAATCTAACAACTCAATTATAACGAAACCAAAGCGTTATTTGAAAAATCGCCAGACAAACAATAGTCCACCTAAGTACTATCACTCGTTTTATCATCAGCATCATTATCATCAATCGCCATCAAATAATCAATATTACCAAAATAAAGCATACTAAAATTGGACACAAAAACAACATAAAATAAAATTACAAATGAACTTTTTTTTTGAACATAAGTAAAAGACGACGTGACCCGATATTGCACTATCGTGGATCCGATTTATAAACACACAAAACAAATTAAGAAAAAAAAAAACAATTCTTTTTATTAAAAAAAAAAAAATGAAAAAAATGATGAATAACGGCTACCTTAGTGAATAATAGTGATAAGAGATTTTTTTATAAATTGAACACAGATTTATTTATTACGAAAAAATGCAGTTGCTGCTGCATCCAAATAAAAAAAAAAACAAAAACGAAAAATCAACAATTAAGAGAGAAGACAAGTCAGGAATAATAATATCATATAAACTACTAAAGAACATCCAATTCTTTTTGATTGTTGCTTTTTGATTGCCATTTTATGCAGAAAAAAAAAGATTTAATTTTAAGTTTTTTTATGGAAAAAAATACAAAACATTTTTTTCTTTTAATTTCTCTCATCTCCTTTTTTGAACAAAACACAAAAAAAAATATTAAAAAAAATTACGTTGCAGAGCTGGCAGCTACTGTGTCAGTAAAGTGACACCAAAAAAAGTTGTCGGCTCTGAAAGAATGTTGTGTATGTTTATTAAATATATTTTTTAATTCGATGAAAACCAACAGAACTATGATGAAAACGTGACGTAGACCTCATGTGTGCTGTTTACATATATAAAGAAAAATGAAGAAGAAAAGATGATTATATATGTGTAAAACACATTTTTTTAATACGTATTGTGTTATTAACGTCAGTAAAAAAAAGTGGAATTTATTTATTTCATTTCAAATGAAGATTGAAAGTATAACGTTTATTATTCGAAATATGCATCGTTACTAAATATTAAGTTAGTTTAATCTTACAATAACAAAACTATTTACTTTACTTTCTATGCATTTCTGTCTGTATAATAATGCTCTTACAAAAGCGAGCTTGGGTTTGTTAAGCAAAGATGTGGCTAAAAAGATCAGTAAATGTCAATGAATTTTTCTATTGCCATTGCACATGTCGCATAAATCGGTGATTTTTTTTTGTTTTTCTTCATTGCTACATGTGTACATGACACAAAAGAAATAATACAAAAATACAAGTAAAAGATCATTAACTACCTGTGCAAAAAAAAAACTAAATCTTTTGTTCCATAAAAAAATCTTTCAACCTTTTCTTCTTTTCCTTTCTGTACACAAAAATAGACTAGTTAAAATCACAGATGATCATAAAAGCATTTTTGTGTCAGAAAACTGCCTAAAAACCTTGAGTTTCACCAGCATACAAAATGTACACACCAAAAAAAATTTATTATTGTGATAGATTTTTCAAAAATCAAAACTTAATGAACTTAAATTTTTTAGGTATTAAATTCGTACTAAATTGAAGATTTTTTTTGAAATTTGAATTTTCAAAACTGTCAAAAAATTATGTAACGGTTTTTCAAAAAAATTCAAATTTACAAGAGACACTCAAATTCATCGAACTTATTGAGATTCAAATTTTGTTGAAATTCGTTTAAATTTGACATTTTTTTTGAAATTTGAATTTTTATGCTGTCAAAAATTTAGCAGCCTTAAAAAAATTCAAATTTGCAAAAGATTTTAAAAAATTTAACGAAACTTTTTGAGATTGTAAATTTAATATTTTAACGTACTTTTTAGTCGTTTTGTCAATTATTAAAAGTATCTTATAAAGATGCAAATCGGTAGCTTGCTATCAAAAAAAAAAGATAGAACTTATCCAGCTAATCATACAAAATGCTTGCAAAAGATGCTCCAGAAGACAGTTATTTTTGATATAAGGTGCATTTTTATGTGTACATTCTCCTAGATCTCTAACAATTTAAATTGTGTTTGTATATAATGGAAAATGAAGTATAAAAGGGAAATAGACTTTACACAAAAAAAAGAAATAAAAGAAATAAATATAAAACCATAGAATGGAAAGAAAAGAAGTTGAATGGTGATGTCGAACAAAAGATATTGTAAGCTGTTATGTGGCACAAAATGCATAAATGTAATGATGCACATTTTGAATTAACAGCAACAGAAGCAGTTAAAATAAAAAGTTGGAAGAAGATGAAAAAAGTAAAGTAGGTAGATTTGAACGTCGCCCAATGCTTCATCATTAATTAAGTAGAGGAGTTGAGTCAGAATTAGATAAATCGAATTTAACGCATTATCAACAAAAAAAAAAAAAAAGAAAATCGTGAAGGAATTCTGACTAGTAATCGAGTAATTAATTATATTCTCCTTAATAATGAGTAGGAAAATTTTGAGAGCTCTAAAACAATCGTGATAAACATTCGTACAAAAAACTGTAAGACTTTTTATAACATTGATATACTAAGAACTGATAATTTAATGTTTTTTCTTCTCAATATTTTAAGCTTTACACAACAAAAACAAGATCGATCCAAAAACATAAAAAAAAGTTAAAAAGTTAAAGATTAAAAATATAATAAGTATGTAAGAACAAATCTACTTGCGAATTGTAAAATGGAAATTTCACTCAATTTTGAGCTTAAAAAAAGATTAAATCTTTTTCTTAATTATAAGTTTGCTGACTTCTCATTATATGCAAATATGACTAAACATCATGATCATCACTAAAAAACTGTTCGTCTACTAAGTTCTATCACAATTGTTTAGTATTGTGAAGCTCAAAGCGGACTGAAATTTCTGTACGTAAAAAAAGGAAAAACAAAAAAAAATGTAAAACTTTCAATACATTTAAAATAATTTTTTTAGTAGGAATTCTGCAATGCAGCAGCACGCTGTTAATTTCTTTCAGTAATCTTTCTTTCGTTTATTATTTTAAATGATCATCTGCGCATTGCATAATGTATTTAAGGAATGAAAATTCTCTCTCTCTCTCTCTCTCTCGTAATTTTAAATTTAAAAAAGAAAGTTTCTTCTTGATCTTAAAGTAAAGAGTTGTCAGATAGGTGGCTAGCCGTATCCTGGTAGCATTTGCATCATTTGGCAAAACGAACTACTTAGAAAGAGGCAACATTTTTGCCTAGGCAGTGTCTTTCATAGACATGGCTTTGAACTGTAAAAACCTACTTTAAAGTCATTTAACCTCCTTGACTCTAGTATACGTTTTACATAGACAAAGGCATACCTACGATAGACAGTGCCTAGTCAAAGGCAAGAAATGTTGCTTAATTCAAGGTAGTACCTTTTCCTAGCTATTATAATAGACCATCGCAAACCCTTGATCTGTGCTTAATAAAATAAAGAATATCAAGCTCAGATCTAGATTTTTGTGAATTAGGATAGGATAGATTTTTACCTTTGAAAGAACATCGATAGCTGACAATTCTAAATCTTAAACAAAATACAAAAAAAAAATGTGAAAAGGAAATTAATGAAAGCTTTATTTATCATAATAATATGAATTATGCAATGAACAGATGTGATTTTATGTAACAAAAACAACAAACTCCCAATTAAAAAAATAAGATTCTTTACAAAAGATGAATCATTCCTGTGACACGATTTAAAGAAAAATATGAAAAATTATAAAAAAAAGTATGAAAAGAGAAAAATCTTTTTGTGGAGAATCTTCATTTTGTCTATATTTCTTTTTTTTTTCTATAATGACCTTTCAATTTTATAAAGAGAAAATGTAATAAAATTAAGATTAATGATTTAATGCATAAATCGTGACTTGTTGCTCATTTCATTTCTAATTTTTTTTACAACAATATTTACACAGTTTTTAACAGGCTTGAATGTGCGAGAAAATGCTTGAAAGTTGTTAGCGACAGATCAACTAAAGTGCATTGCTGTTCGTGTGATGATCGTTAAAACTGAATGCTTGTTTGTAAGTTTTCAAGTATTCAAGTCATAAGACTTAATAACACTAAGTTCAACGATTTTTATAAATTTAACAGTCCTCGGAAAATTTTGTACCGTGACATGGTTCAAAAACTGGATTTTAGCAGTTCAATAACGCTAAGTCAATAAATTTTTAAGATTTTTATTTTGATAGACTGACTGATAATCCAAAAATAAAAAAAATGTTGTTTTCTTTCTTTTTGATACTTAAAAACAAGGTTCAGTGGCCTTGATGATAAGTTATCATTAAAAAAGGCGAAATAAAATTTGAAATCCAATAAAATTTGGACACCTATATGTTTTTCGCCATTACATGATTACTAGTAACTTTTCGTAGATTTTTTGGAAACCTTAAATTCATTGGATTTTAAAAATCTAAAATTTAATAGATTTCGAAAACTGTAATCAAAAATCATATCTTGACGACATTTAACAGTTCACATTCGATTAATATTCAGATAAAGTTCAGCGGGTTCTGTTTTCTAAACTGAACATCTCCCTCCCTAAGTCTGTCCATACCGCGTTACTGATTTTGGAATTCGTGATGATCTACGTATATTCGGTTAATTCGAAGTCCTTTGGACGTTGTTATTAATTTGTTGTTGAGGGATGCAATGACTCGAAAAATGTGTCTATCTCTGAATCTGAACTGCTGTCACTATTTTTTCTGTTTAAATTAAGACCTCTGGTGCTTTTATTTATTCGAAGAAATTTTGAATTTTTTCTAAAAATTGATCCATTGCTTAGTAAAACTTCAAAGGATCGAGGTTGCTTTAGCTTAGCCATGATCTTTCTGTCTAACCAAGTACCATTTTATTTTTGGAGTAATACAAGATCACCAACTATAAAGTCTCTTCGCGAAAGAGTATTCTTATTATAATAGTACTTGGTATTATTATTCTTAATTTTTAGTTTTTCTTCTACATTTTCAGTTACTTTAGGTTCTAATGATTTGGTTTTGGTCACGATTTTTGTACGTATTCGACGATTTTGCGACAATTGTGACGGAGATAAGTCACATGACGGAGTAAGTCCTGGTAAAAAACTAGTCCTTGTGATACATAAATATCATTTCTTAGCTTATAATAATATTTTACATCATCAGGAACTTTCGATTTATCTGATGGCCATGCTTTGTGATAGTAGTCAAGCAATACTTTCATGACACTGCCATTTCTTGTTTCATCTTGATAAACCATCAATTTTTCGTCACTTATGCTCACGGTATGTACCATTTGTTTCATTACTTCCTCTTTAAAGTTTTCTTTGACATCGTTGTTTGTATATCGAGACAAATAATCTGCAATTGGAATTTTACTTCCAGGATTATAATCCAAATGTAAGTCATATTTATAAAGCTTAAGACGCAAACGCTGTAATCTGCGTGAACCTATCTTTGTCAAGTCCTTTAGCATTATAA